GCTAGATGAAACAAATATTGTCATATTTATCGAGATTCATTTTTACTGATTGTTGACGTTGGATTGCAATAAAATTCACATGACAGACAAGGGCGAACCCATTAGTTCGGATACTGTGTCAAGTGACACCGGTAATATTTGTATTATTTACAAAAATCATGTATAATCTCTTGTAATTAACTTGAAATTGGTCTATTTGCTTGCATTGAACCCTGTCAAATTCCATGTGAGACGTTTGTTGTCCCCATTCTCCAAGTAATTTTGTTTTAAGTATCGAATTACTTGTAGTGTATCTTCTATTATCAATCATCATTTATTCATTTTTTTTAAGTCTGATGATTTCTTTCTATCAATAACATTTTTATGAAGTCTAATCTATTATTTTAAGAAAAATTTGTTAAATTGACTCAGTTTGAATTAGTGTTTTGCGAAATAACCTTTGCCTTATTTTTACCAACTTTTCCCTAAATTACCCTTTGATTAATTCTGAAAATTACAAATAAATGGTTTTTATAATTTTATAAAATTAAGAAAATACAAAAAAGTAATACACAAGATATATAGATTCATGTACAATTTTTTTTTTAAACTATGACAGAAAATTATTTATTTTTGCTTCTACCATGGTCGAATCTACTAGTAGATTATGTGTTCTACGAATTTGAATAAATCTACGAGTGGTAGAATGAAGTATTCTACTAATTGCTCAATTTCTACATATCGCAGATTGCACAATCTACCATTTGCTTCAGTACTACCAGTCGCAGAATGTCATTTCTACCAATGTCTTTGTCATCTACACCAGGCAGAATGCATTTTCTACCCCTTCTATCTACCTCTTTCTCTATGTTCTACCAAATGGTAGAAAGTCTAAACTAGCAAAAATAGTTTAAATCCCCTAAATCTAGGACAATTAAATATTTACTTTCTATAAAATGATTTTTTCGGATATTTGCTTCCAATTACGTTTTTTCTTTATTTATTTTTATAAATTGTTTTTAATTATTTTTTTGTGAAATGTTTTTTTCGGATATTTACTTCTAATTGGAAAAGTGGAGAGAGATAGAGATCTCTTTTGCGAAACAAAGTTTTTTTTTAATGATTTGTATACTTATTTTTAAGAAAAAAT